TAACAATAATAATAATAATTAGTTGACGTCGCTTGTTCCCGGATGGTCGACCTCCCGGGTTTTCGGCGACAAATCCTCGCCCCACTTCACGTGTTTTTTTTAACCTTACTAATAACGTATCCCCCTACAGTAATAGAATCAGGCTAATAACCATCATCCAATGATAAAATTGATAAAATTTGGTTTTAAATAACAACGGATTAAATATTAATAATAATAAAAAAAAAAATTATAATATTATTTGTATTATTACAATATCATTGTATTGTTCCTGGTGATATTTTATATAGATACAATGTGCGGAATGCGTAAGTGGGGGTGTATGACTTCGGTGTCATAGCGTACTCAGAAATAAATCGTTCATCGCAGCACCGTAACATTGTGATCAAGCGATGACGATGACGAATAGTTTTTAGTACTTTAGTAGTCATACTATCCGAACGAGGTTATTGTTATTATTTTTTATTGTTTTTTGTAGTATTTTACCTATAAAACTACAGCCCGCGACAACGGTTTAGTCGTATGGTGTCTTTGTGGATATGTAATAATAATATTTGAGAGCCTCGGATTTAAACTAAAACAAATTTTATATTTTCATGTATATAATTATACTCTTATTATTAATTTTTATTTTATAGATATATTACATGTATATACGACCATATATATTCTTAACTTACTTGATATATTTTCGGCAGTTGGAAGAAAAATATTATATTGGAAGCATTAAGTGCCGCTTAATAGCGTAGATATTATGAAGTTGCGTATTATAGAACAAAACTTAAACATTGAACAAAATCGTGAAAATATTAAGGATTTGTTCAAAATAAAAGACCACAGATGTTTCCAATTTAAAAACTAGTTGTTCATTTGATTGGTATAATTTTTTTTTGTAATAATATTCAAATTTAGTTTATATATAATATAAATATATGAGTATTTTGTCATTTATCATTGTTGTAGTGTTTTTTGGTATTTTGTACATATCCATAAATAAGTATATACTTAGCAAATTGTTTCGTATATGAATCAGGGACTTCATATAATAATAATAATTATTATTATTGTTGTTATTATTCGCTTGTTACGATGGCACCTACACCTGGGTACATAAGTATCGCTGGGGGAGGGGGGAGGGGGCTCTTAGACCATTTGCATGCCTTTCGTGATGGACTCCACGTGCTCCTTTGCCTTGAGCCTGAGCACAGCTATAGACGATGTCCTGGGATCGGCAGTAGATACCGCGGACGATGAAGACGTGGACAGCGACGAAGACGACGGTGGCGTGGCGATGGTGATCTGTTGTTGCGGTGATGGCGGCGACTTCTGTGCGGACGACGGCGGCCCGCAGTGCACCACCGGTGGCGTCAGGTAGCTCGGGTAACCCGTCTGCGGGTGCGACAAGAAACCTGGAAGCGCGGACAGCAGCGGCGGTGATAGCCACGGGTCGACAGGCAGTGCCAGGCTGGACCCGGGCATACGGCTAAGCGAACCGGTCATCGTCGAGTGCACGTAGTCGTTCAGGCCCAGCCTTGCCGCCTCCATCTTCTCCTGTCTGCGCCACTTGGCCCTTCGATTCTGGAACCACACCTGCGAACACGCACRCAAACGACAGACGGCTATTAAACTCGAGTTTGTTTTTCGTACATAATTAGTTGTAATATATAGGGCGAGGTACTTTAAGATAAAGATTTCATATTGATTTTGTAAATAGTTAGCTCACTCGCGGTGTAATTGGTTTTATTCGTGCGGGGAGAGCACGCGTTGTATATTTTAGTCATTCACATATTTATTACGTTTCGATTATGATTACATTTATCAATAATTTTTACAAAAACAACTACCTAATTCCTATACAAAAAACTCATGTATGTAAACAATGGTTGTTATTGTCTATCATCAGATGGCGGGTGGGTGACGGACGAGGGTGCAAGATCTATCAGTTAGCATAATAACATGATGGATGAGCGAATATAAGTTACCAATGATTAAAATATAATAAGTTATACGCCACACGCCGAAGGTTAGAAATATGACAGTTGCAAATCCAAAAAATTCACTGGAGTGGAAAATGTYCACCTTTAGATTATAAATAGTTTTGTAACCTACTTAATTTTATGATATAATATAAGTCACTAGCTGAATAACCCGGCTTCGCCCGCTTACAGTATTTTGTGTTACCTACTATTACTTTTATTTTATCAGTTTTTATATTTATTACAAGCTGCTATTAGATATGTTGATCCAGGTTACCCATGTGGCCATCATGTATTGTATAGAAGTTTCTGTAAACTCTTTTAAAACCAATTAAGTTTTACAACGTCGTTGTAACATTATTATATACATTATGGTGTTGTATAAACAGAAAAAAAAAATATATTGAGATATTTTATTCATCTCAATACCTCTTTATAAACAGAATTTTTGGTACTACCTTTTAGGGCTAAAATAAGCAAACTACAGGCAGAGCTAACTCTAGAACAGTGGTGTTCAACCTGGGGGTCGCCAATAATTTTACATCAAATGAAAAAGTAAATTTATATTATACACTTACATAATGTTGGTAAGAATGAGGGGTCGTATTATCAAAATAAATCATTTTGGGGGGTCGTGGATCAAAAAAGGTTGCTTACCACTGCACCACAGCATTACATTTATTGTATACTTCATTAATAATTGAGTTAGGTTAAGTAGTCAGGTATTTCCGCACTAATGATACAATCTAATTTATCTGGATAMATGCGCTGTCTTAGCCATAACAAAATATGTATGTGTGGCWAACCACGTTTTTGCCATTCGACCGAATACATAAAACATTGCGCTTCCCCAAACAAATCCCCTTTTGTCAACAATTTCATAAACGTCTTAACTTTTAAATGAAATATCCTAGCTATAGTATCATGACGATCGTAGGACTTTTATTCAGATAGTAATGCATTTGAAACTTCTTTCCATCGAGAATTACATGTAAAAGTTATGAATAAATCAGGACGACCGTAATGACGAACGTATGTCATTGCGTCCTGAGTTTTTTCATTCATATACAGCGGTGAGTCAGTAAAATATGACGGAAGCACTACCATCTGACTAAGATGGGCAAGATCGGTATCTTGTCTCCCAATAGCATTTCTGAGATGTACGTAATTATCAGCGCTGAGTTGCATTTGATTGTTTCTAATAAGTTTTAACCACTCTGTTTCAATTTTGGCGTACATATTATCAACTAAATATTGATTAAAAAGTGATATACTGCAGTACAGTAAATGGTTGATTTCCGTTTGTCTAATCATGATGTGGTAAGAATAAAATTGCGATATAGTAGGCAACTGTTTTCTGAAGTGGTAATTTAGTTTTTGGATCAATCTGAAAGCTATTAATGGAATACAGTGTATATGAACGGTGCAATTCACTAATATGTTGCAATTTGTTATCATGACTTTGTAACAAAATATCTCGTTTTTCGAACTGTTGTCCAACTATTGTCTATTACCAATGATACTTCACTTACTGTTGGTGCATTATAACGGCTTCTGTGAGCTTTATCAGGTTTTCTATCCGCGTGTATTATAATTTCAAAATTTTTACTATTTTGAGATACTCTTTCGAGTGTGGTTTTTAAGTTCTTTATGTATGATGCAACGTCGTTTGTAATTGTTTTCCTAGGCTTTGCTTTACATCAGCGAAGTTGCTACATCTTAAGCGTGTTTCTCTCTCATCATCTCCAACGAAATAAATCTGTAGAAATTTAGGGTTTTGTTGAGGTAAAGTTTGCAAACTACCAATTAAATGATACACCTGACCTTTCACTTTGAATGTGGGCATAAATCTATCTTCGATAATTTGTTTCGTCCAAAAGATGTCATTCGGAAGCAGCTATTGTATTTTCTAATAYGGTCCATGAAATATTTGTGATCTGGATGGAACCTTATAATCAAACTATAAAGAGGTTCAGGAAGAGGTAAAAAATACGGAAGTTTTTCTTTACCGGCACTAAAACACATTCCAGGCGCCTCTTCTTTGAATTTAAGAGCATCGCAGTATACGCATTTATGACTCATAGTACCCAAAAATACAGTTATATAGAAAGCTTTTATTTTCCATGGAAGAGGATTCACCTTTCTGATCGTAATCCTAGATTATTTTGTTCAYATAATGATTTTATAAGCTGTTTTTCTGATATTATTTGTAAATCTCTTCCGTCGTTTTTTAGAATGCTCATTAGAGCTGGGTATATTATCAAAATCGTCAGATACAGATATAGTCAATTTATCTTCATATGATAAAGTAACATCRAAATGCCCATCAGATAGGTTTTGCATAGAACTAAAACGAAATCTCTTAACGGGGTTCCTTTCTGAACCAAATTTTTCATACAGTTCATCATTGAGGTACACCTCAATAAATACCAAAAATAATTGTCCTTTAAAAAAAGTCTCTTTATATATATATATATATAGATAATATATTTATTTGTCGCTGTAGTAAGCATACAGCCAATTATATAAGCTAAAACCAAACATTAATATTTTATTAAGGATATTTAAAACCTATAGTACGACAGCATGATAYTATTATTATTGTAGGACCTATAGAAAATATAATATAGCTGGCGATGCATATCAATCTATCCAATGACTACGGTGATTAAATTGGATTCTGCGTAAAATCGCAGGTCATCAACAAAGTCCAATACGGCTTTATAAAATATTTTATAATATTGAATTTTTTGTAGGTATGTGATATCGTCGTGGGAGCTGTGTGTTTTCGTCGGGATGGATTCAAAGAAAAGCGTGAAGCGAAAAAGCGTTATTAGTATGATGTAGGTATTCATTATATTTAACATGGCTACTTACAACAAATAACGTCGTCAAGTACTAACGTGAATATCAAAAAATAATAAATTTATATTTATAAAAAGGATTGCAAAGAGCCTGACAAAGACATATTTGGTAGAAAAGATGCAGGTATAACGTTGTTATAAATATATCTACTGCATGTTTATGTGCACACATAATACATATATTATAATATATGAAGTATGYAATATTATATAATGAATTTCTTGGCTCGCAGCAATAAGCTGGTCTTTGGGAAAAGCGATAAGATCAGTGGAGTAGAGGAAGCAGGAAAATCAGCAAAAGAAACATGTCTCGCACCTTGCCGACAGCCCAGGGGGTTCGAAAGAAAATTATTTTTGTTATTATTATTATTATTATTATTATTACTATTATTATTGTCGTAAACGTGCAGGTTAGGACGAGGTGAAGGAAAAATAACATAAAAATGAAAGTAAACTTAATAAAGCACGCCAAGAAAAACCAGCATGACCGTCGCATGGAAAAAATAAACAAAATGTGTATAGGTGTATATGTATATACATATATATATATATATATATATATTTATATATTATATATTATATGAACAACCAGGAATGAAGAGAAATACAAAATACCTTCGGTAACTCAATTTATATCCATTTTTCTAGAGCGTAACTCGATTTACCGATTACTGGGACGTAAAACGTTCTCAATGCGACCAGCGTAAATATTATATACTTTTACCCGTTTTTATTTTTTAAGGTTGAGAAGAAAATTGACGTTTACAATAAGGGCGAAAAGTCTTTGATGTTTCCGTATACACGTGTACTATATAGGTAAACTTGATGCACAACATTTTTCTCATTATTCAATTCAAATTTCATAAAAAAAAAAAACATTGCCATTTTATGATTTATTAATCAAATAGCTTTTTTTATGGTGACTGAGAATATACTTATAATATACTAGTACTTATATAGGTTTTATTCAATCACGGGCGTTGCACAAAACGACGAAAACAAATTATAATAGTCTTGTGAAAAAAAAATTAAGTTTTCTCTCACGTCATTACGACAACCACAGATTTAATACAATTTTGTTTAAATATACCGGTAATTGTGTTTATATATTATATACATACAGAAAAAAGTCACTATAGGTTGCAACGTTGACATATCTCCAGACAACCTACAACAATGTCTCAACTTTTAAGTAATATAATATACATAGTATTGGACTAAGGATTTTATCTCGTGGAATGTTGCGGTAGTCTATAGTTGATCAAAAAACCGCTTTGTTGTGTATAATAATAATGTGATTTTTAATGGTGGCGGACTGAAACTTACATTTTAAATGACGAATTTTCACAATTAAGTGCTTATTACCACCACCGGCACCACAGACACCCCGCCCAATATTAGAATACAAGTTATGATGYAAATAAAATAAAAGAGCCATGAGGTTGAGCCATAGCATGTAATTCTCAGCCATCATAGTCACGGGTTGGCACAATTCCCATTTGAAAAATTGATGYAGCTGCGTCAAAATTGAGCCCTTTAGCCCGCCACTGCTTTTAAATACCTATCATGATTGGCACGATTTAAGTAATTACATAACGTTTTATTGTATTTATAAAGTTTTTTGAGAAAAGGATTCGATGAAAATAATGATTAGGTATTATAGGTATATCACATAATCATTGCATGATATTTCCTTTACAGCCSCCCTTGGTGTATTTGTTACGTGAGCTGCATCGTAACTGCGTGCAAT